TTTCTTCCCCATACTGATGCTCGGTTTGAACTGCAGGAGATTGTCTTGACCATGTCTACATGCCTAAATGCACTGAGTTGCCGCCATGATGGCAGCCCACTGCTCCCCAAGGGGATGAGTTAATTTTGTTGCTTTGTACTATTTTGAGTGGACTTTTGTTGCTTTGGATTATATTGAATGGAGCTTGGAAAAATAAAAAATAAAAAAATATATATATATATATAAGCATGGTAAAGTGATATGGGAGAATATTGTTTTTCATTTGAGGGAATACATTTTAAAGGAATGTTTAACTTAAAGTAGAAGGTTGAGTTAAAACATTGAGCCACAACAACCCTTTCCACCAATCATAAAAAAAAAATCTGATACAGAAATTAATTTAATGAAGCAAAAACTATTTCTGGTAGTATAGGTTTAATGAAAAAAAATGTTTACTGACAGTTTAAAATGTCCTTTAATCTGAACTAATCTACATGCTTAGTCTAGGTCAGTATTTCCTAAAGGGAGCGCGTGCCCTCTAGGGGAAGCTTAGTGGAATTGCAGGGGAGTGGGATTTTAATTGTAACTTTTCTGTATTGGTATAATTCTGAAATAAAATTCAAAACTCTATTAAACAGTAAAATAAAAATTTAAATTGAACATTTGTACATTTTAATGGTAGCCTGGTGACTTAACATAGATATTTATATTGATGTCTTTATGTAATAAAATACCTTTACTCTTGTTAGTTTCGTTCTTTTAAAACTAACCAAACCATGAGTATTGTTTTATATATTTAATATGTTTTATCTCACCGATTGTTGATCTTATAGATTAAAGCTACTCCAAACTGAAAACCTCACACTGGAGTGGAAAAAGTCACATCTAGATATAGTTTATTGATTGTTTTTATATCAGGCCAGCCTAGGGCTTTTCCTTACCTGCTGCTAGGTTTTGCTTTATGTTTTAGATGTTAAGAATTTTCCTTTAGCACCTGAGAAGATACTGAGGCACTGCTAACAATATACAAAATTGTGGAACAATATACAAAATTGTGGAACATAGGAGAAGGACTTAGACAAACTTTATTGTCATTTTGTATACACAGACTGTATACAAAATACATTTTTTACAAACACAGCATTCCAACAGAGAATGAGCAGCAGCTTAACAATGAAAAAGAACATTTCCATTCATAAAGTGCAGCAGTGATCAAATGTACTCAGTGTGGGAGAGATATGGTGCAAAAAGGCATTGACGTGGAAGATTCAGAGCAGTGCAAAAATAAAAAAAAATATATATGGCACCATGCAGTGCAAGTATGATGTTATCAGTGTGATGCAGAGTCTTGATTTGTGAGTTTTTCAACAGTTAAACAGTCTGATGGCAGTGGGGAAAAGGCTGTTTTGGAATATGCTGATGCTGCGTTGAATGCTGTGAAGCCTCTTCCCAGAGGGCAGCGGGGAGAACAGTCCATGGTGGGGGGGTGACAGATCATTGATGATGTTTTGGGCTCTGGACATGCAGCGCTGGGATGAAATGTCTTTAATGGAGGGAAGAGGAGCCCCCATGATCCTCTCTGATGTTCTCACCTTCTTCCAGTCTGAGGCGCTGCAGCATCCACACAGAAGGTTCAGGCGGAAATAATCTAACGCTGTCTATATCTAATAAAAGAGCTGGCCACTGTACTAGATAACAAAAGGTAACCCAAAAATATCAAAGGTTCGATTAAAGCAGAAGGTTCAACCAAATGAAACACAGAAACGGAGGCGAATGGACAAAAACACAAAAGGGCAAAAAACCTCAAACTAAATCAACAAAAAGATCTGGACATGGCTGAGGAGGATGTATCAAAGCCTTTAAGGAGACTCGTTGCTGATGGGGACAAAATAAATCACGGGTCAATCTAAAATCATAAAGGTCTAAAAGTCCTCTGGAGGAAAAAGGTCTTTCTCCAGAGGGACAAGGCTGTTGTGGATACTGGTTAGAATCCCTCTGAGGTTTCTAAGTCCAGTCCTCTACTGCAGCGTTTCTGAGGCTTTCAGATGCATCTCTCCTCCAACACACCAGAATCAGTTTTAAAAGACCTCTGCAGAGCTGAATGACAGGTGAGGGGATTCAGCTGTTTGATTCAGGTCTGATGGAGAAGAGATGTGACTTAAAGCTGTAGCATAGCAGCTCTGGAGTTCCTGGAGTTGGAAAGCCCTGATCTAAAGTAGGATGAACAGGAACACAGGTTGTGGTGGTGATCGCTTGAACTTGAAGCTTGGAGGGACAAATTGATTTCACGCCACTTTGATGCAGATGTCAGGACTGACTTTTTCGAATGCATTTGATCCTGTTGAGCACGCATTCATACTTGATACTTATCCTTATTTGGTTTGGTAATAAGATTTGTGACCCAGTTCTGATCATTTCTAGCGATATTAACAGCTCTGTTTTGGAACATGTCAATGATTTAAAGTTGGATTTGCTCGAGGCTGTCTCACATCTCCACTTTGATTTATTCGGATTGCTGAAGTGTTAGCAATTATAATAAAAACATTTTTTTAAGATATCCACTGGCAATTAGTCAGCTAGCAGATGATGCAAAAGAAATCATTCATGTTTTTTCAGATGCCTCTGATTTGTACCTAAATCTAAGTAAATGTGAATAAATATCAATGCATGACCACCCTCCAATGTGTCTGTGTGGTATATCTGTTAAACACAATGTCAAATTCTTAGGATTTAATATATCTAAAGTTGTAGAGTATGGAGGAAGAAGTAATTTTGATAATCTGTGGATTTCTTTTCTTTTTTTTCCTACTCAGTGTCCTTTCTGGCGATGTGGCAATAAGAATAATTGCCTTGATGTCAAAAAGAGCCCAACTGATTTTACTTTCACAAATGGAGCAGTACGGCTATCGCCATAGTGTTCCACTTTGCATGTAAATAGCTTTATTATAATTAATGCAGGGAGTATTTTAGATTATATGGACACTGCAATGGGAAAGTAGAACAGGAAAGAAAAAAACAGGAAAAAAGGAGAAAAGATGAAAGAAAGAGGAGATAAAAGGGATACAATGATAAAATGTCTTGTGTCTGCTTCATCATGTAAAAAAGAACAACACAACCAACGGATATAGTATTACAGATATAATAAAGTAACACCTTGAAACCGTTGCAGAAGTATAAAGTATAATCTG